TTGGTGATCTTACTTGGGTCAACAGGTTCTCATCAAACACATTGCCATACAAAAAGTACATTTTTTTCCTAAATTGAAATTTTCTAGGTTAGCATAAAAATATTTAGCTGCTATTTTATAAGGCCAATGGAGGGATATAGCATGAAGAAAATAAATGATCAAGGTCGTGCATTGGCATGTGTAAAGTCTCAAGGTACAGAACGTTTCTACTTTTTTTTTTGTCCAGGCCTGATATTGGTCATGGTCAATCTATGATATAGAGATGGATAATTAGGAATCAACTGTATTTCTGCAGTACTCCTCAGCTAAGGAAGGTGATGTCAGATTTGAATGTGATAGAAGATCATCAGAACTTGAAAGGATTGCCAAGATTATTATTAGTCTAATTCAGATGAAGACAGTAATACCTTCAGGTCATACAGCTAATTAGTGATGGTGATGGGGATGAGATGTGAACCTCTAAAAGGGATCTGGACCACAAAAAGGAAAAGCCCTGGACTTTCTCACATGGCCAAATCTCCAGCATTTGCCTGAGGCTATAATCCTATCAACTGGCCTTTCATTATAGCCTATGTCCAATCTCCAGATTCTCTGTTACCCTTAACCTAGCCTAGCCTTCCATTGTTTTACCTCCCTATGGCCCCCAGCCACTTCCCATCTTTAATCCTACCTAGGCTCCATTCTAACCTTGGCCAATTGGTCCAGGTCCCTAGCATTCTGTTACCTCACTGTCATCCCAGCTTACTGGCCACTCCTATCCAGATCCTCCTTAGACCCCTCCTCCAGTCACCCCAGACTATTGGCCACTCCTAGATACTTCCCACAGTCTTTCTGTATATAAGGTCCATCTGGCCTCCATTAAGGTGCTCAGATTCTTAAGATCTGACCCACTTGCATTAGCGATACAAATGCTTAGATTCCTTAAGAGTCTGGCCAATATGGCAGATTCTTTAAATCTCACTCACTCCTGACTGATGTTCTAATAAACCTTGTCTTTGACTGAAGGAAGGCTTGGGTCAAATTCATTAGGGGAAGACCCATGTGTCATCATTTTGGGGTCCCAGCACCCCTAAACCTCTAAACCTCAACAACGGGACTGAGATTTGAACTCAAGTCTCCTGATTTTTTAGGCAAATTAGGTCAACAAGTATTTATTAAGTGCCTCTGATGTGCCAGTCTCAGGGCTCATCTAATGGTCTTTCTTTTGTATTACCCTCTTGGTGCCATGATCCTTGCTGCATAAGAAATCCTTATTATTCATCATGGAAACCTTCCTGATGAGAGAAGAATAAAGGAATCAAATACAAGGGAACAGAGAGATTCCTTTAGCAATAGAAGAAAGAACAAGCCTCTTAGAGCAGGTTGGAACACTCAGACCAGCCTTAGTTTCAATGGATTATTGAAGGAGTCTTTTTTCCTAGACTGGTCTGCTATCCACAAAAATAACAAACAAGTGAGGCCATTTTAAAGGACAACTCACTGTAAAAAGATGGTCAAAAGACCTAGAATGAACTTCATAGATTTATACAATCTTGGAAGAAGAAAGGTTTTCTACACCTGAGGTATCAAATTTATAGCTATAAGTGCATGTAAAACTCCCAAGTGCTGCTTGAACTAGATTAAAATGTGATTGAGAAATGCTTAACAAAGTAAATAAAACTACAACAAAGATAATGTTAATTTGTGGTTTTCTAATTCAACATTTGGCCTGTAGGGATCTGTTTCTATTTGAGTGTGACACCAGTGCTCTACAGCAACCCATACCTGTGCAGAATATGCTTTCTAAGATCCATGACAAATGGTTATCCAACTTTTCCACTGATGGACAACTTATAGTGCCACCAAATGGACAGTTTCTCTTTTGAATAGCTTTAATGATTATTTCCCCCTATATTCCCTATATTAAGCCCAAATTTTCCTCTCTTCAACTTTCAGTCAAACTTTAATTCTGGTGCTAAGCAAATCTAACCCCTCTTGTATATAACAGCCCTTTAGTTACTGGAAGACAACTATCATGTCTTCTCTAAGTCTTTTCTCCTTTTGCCTAAATATTCCTAGTACCCTTAATACGTCTTCAGGCCATGGTCTTAAGTCCTCTTGCCATATAGAATTTGTCCTATTGTCAGTAACTAGAGTGGCTGTTCTTGGGGCCTGAGCCTGCACTGGTATTGGTGAAGAATGAGAATAAGTAGAGATGAGTGGCCTGAGAGATGACTAGAGAAAACACCAAGATTGTAGCTGAAATTCTTTGGAGAGCCCCAAATGACCATCCTAATGGTGTTCCTTGCCTTGATGAAAGATGCCAAGGCTCTTTGCCTTGGTTCAAGTGTTGCTACTTTCAATTGCTACCTACTCTTTTGTCTGGGAGCTTACTGCTGTTTTCCTGAGTCAGTAGCTATCTTTATCTGAGACCTTAGAGTGTCTACAAACCCACTTCTGCTAAGTTTTGCATTTTTTTTTCTCCTAATAGGATCAGACTCAAACTCATCTTGCTCAGAAATGACTTAAAAAGGGTATTTAGATATATATTGGATAAGCTCTTTGAACCAATGAGGAAAGGAATTGAAGCAAACCTGATTTACTTTTATATTTAACACTGATGCAAGCTTAAGCTAGATATCCCTGCCTTGGCATTTAAGCATAATATTTATTAACCCTCAGGGGTTTTGTAGGAGCCTCTGTATTTAACCTAAATCTCTAGAAATAAGCAGGACTGTGATTTTCTTTAAATTGGTACTTATGTAGTAGAGTCTTTCAAGCATTAGTGTTTACTTGATTGCTTTCAGACATTGCTTTGGCAATAGAATGACTATAGTGAAATTAGCATCAAGCACAATGAACGGTAATTGCAAGACTGTCATTTCTACAAGTACAAAATTAATGCAATACACAAGCCCATCCCAATTGTGTGCCACAAGGAAAGCACAGAATTCCAGTTGTTTGGAAGAGAAAGATACTCTAAAATACTACCGTTAATGTGAGATAGTCTTCTTCAATAGATTCCTTTCCCACTTCTGTTGCTGTTTTGTACTTTTCTTTCATCCCCATCTAACATCATTTGTATTACCATATTAAAAGCAATGCCAGATGTAGCCTGGATGTATAGAGGATATTTTCCAATAATGCATCCCTCTCTGGGTGGCATTGTATAAGACTAATGCTACTATAAACAACTCTTCATGTATTCATCACGGCACAGACTCTATGAATGGAGTGTTTATGTCAAGCTTCTTATTAAGAGATGCAATAATCATTCAGTGAAGGCTTTACCCAAAAACTTTACATTCCTTTACAAAGCAAACAGGGATTTAACTCATAAATCAGGAAAGTAGAAACTCTCTCTCTTTGCCCTCTCTTTTTAATTCTAATTTTAGGTACAGGAAAATTCAGTAATCAATAAGTTACATGAATTTTCCAGCTCATATACTAAAACAGCATTCATGAAAGGATTATATTTTTGGGTCCCTAAAGTCAATTGCAACAACAACCACCACTTATCAAGAGCCTGTTGTGAATTGAGCATTGTACTAAATGCAAAAATTAGGTAATCCATGGCTCCTGCCCTAGGGGGATAACACCAGTGCAGAGAGCTATAGTACCTAACATTACAGGATATGTGCATTTAGAGGAGGTGCAAAACAAAGTCTCCTGTGGTCTGAAGGGGAAGATCATGGCTGCCTGAGGGAGAAGAGGTAGGAGGTGATGTGTGTTAGCCATTGAGGAACAGATTCAATAAGTCTGGAGTGAGAAGGAGGGGAATGAAGGGATTCTAGGTAGAGTAAAGAATATATGCAAAGATGAGCAGATGTGAACTCAGTGTGTGCGTGTGCGCCTGGAGTACAGATGGAAGATGTATGAGATAAGACTGGAAGAAGAGGGTAATGCCATATTTTATAAAGCCTTGAATGTTAGAAGAAGGAGTCTGAATTTTACGCCATAGGCATTTGGCAACCACTGAAGATTTTTGACAAACTGAATAATATTACTAGATTAATGCAAGAAAAAAAGAGATTATCCTACAAATGGTATGAAGTATGGAATGGAAAAGTGAAATAATACAATATATAGTCAAAGGAACTCTTTATTAGGAAACTAGGGGACCATTCAGAATCAGTCTGCCTGACCATTACCAGAGAACCTGGATTTTCTACTTGGTCAGGGTCTCTTAGAAGTCCATTCATTTAGCTAAGAATGTATGTTTTCACTTACAAGATCTCGGTATTCTCAAGAGTAGACCTAATGAGGCCCTCTTAAAGGGTTAGACTGACCCCAGACTCCTCATAGCCCAGAAACATTAAAGACACACATAAACATGGGTTTTTGCTACTAACTTAGGTCAAAGAGCTACTGTAAGGCTAGCAACAACGACAATAATAACAACAGACATTTACAGAACGTCTGAAGCTGCTGTACCCAGATTATCTCATTGAATCCTCACAATAACATTGTTAAGCAGGTGTTGTTATCATTGCCATTTTGAGACGTTGTAACTTGCCTGGGACATCTTTGAAGTATCTGAGGTGGAATTCCAACCTAACTCTTCCTGACTCCAAGGCCAGAATTCTATTCACTTCATCACCATGCTGCCTCTTTGGTGTCTGGGATCCCCCCCCCCCCCCCCCCCCCCCCCCGCCACCTCCACACACCTCAGTAACACAGCAGAATCAGGCTTAAAGCCATCTTTTGGATGTCAATAATTGTACCATTCATCATCAGGGTGAGAACTAGCTCTTTAGTTTATGATATTCAAGTCAACTGTCCAGTACAATGTGAGAGAAATTGAATACAATTATTTCCTTTATGAGGATTACTAGGTGATAAAGATGATGAAGGCGTTAACTTCATATCTATTACACTAGTGGGATCTTGAGCACCATTCTTTTCCAGGTAAAGTCCTCTCTATGACTGGCTGACCCTATTTCACCAAATGGGTGATTTGGGCCTATGAAGAGAAACAATAGTGAGTATGGAAAAACAGCAGCAAACTGGTCCCATGTTACCTTTTATGCAAAACGGTCCATCATAGGCAGTCTTGGAGCAATCACAGGAATAACCATTATACTTCTCCACACATTTGCCTCCATTTTCACAGTACATTCCGTAGCTGGTGCAATGGCCTGAGCACCCAGGTTTCACTCCTAGAGTAACTTTTGCTCTTTCTTCCAAATCAAGAGTTACCCCATTCATCCTGAGGGAGCGAATGCACCCTAGAAATCCCCTCTGGCCTCCTGCAGCACCTGAGAGACAACACAAGAGAGAGACCAGATTTAACAAGCTTTGTTATTGTCCTTGTCCTCACAGAGCTAATCATGCCTTGAATAACTGTGGTAGAAGTTAAATTGAGAATGTTAAGAGAATCCTAGCATTCTTACTTTCAAGTCGGTTCTGTCAAAATCTACTAAGCTGAAGCTTTTCCCCCTTAGGCTGTGGCACCTAATTAAAAAAAGGCCCACTTTTGAGAGGCAACCAAATTTGCAGCTGAAATAAAATATTTGGAGATATCCAGACACTTTATAAGCTGTTTTGGATGTCAAGTCTAGTTTCCTATAGGAAGGTGGATGAAAAAAAAATCCCTGTGAGTCTTTGCTCTTTAATCTTAGGCATTCAATCCCATAGCACAATCTACTGAAAGAAAAATAAAAAGACAGAGAGACATGAATATATTAGCATAGTTAACAAGTCAATTAGTCAGAAGGTACAAATATACTAGAAACCAGACTGGATATCTGGATACTTGCCTCAGAAAGCTCCTTCTTCTGATTTTACATTAAAGTATCTTGTCCTTGGTCCAAATTTACAATTTAGAGTAGAAGAAAGCTTAACCACATTACATTTCTTATTAGTTCAGGTTAGGCTTTCTAACCTGGAGTCAAAAATTTGTAGAAAAAAGAATGAGTATAATTATATATACAAAGTTGGGTGATATGATGATGATCATGATGTGAGCGTAAAAGAGTGAAAAGAGTTCTGGTTTTGGAGAAGGGAACCCAGGTCAAATCTCCACTCTGTTGCTTGCTACCCATTTGACCTTGGGCATACTACTTATTTTCTCTGGGTCTCAGTTTCCTCATCTATAAAAAGAGGGGATAGGAAGAGATGATCCTTTCTTTTTACTAGCTCTAAATCTTTGAGCCTGATCCATGATTTCATTGGTGTGAGGAATTCATGGTGTTAAAGTTTATAGCAATAGAGATAAACAATTTGCCTATACGTAGCCTAAGGGAGATACCTAGGGCTTTGAAAAGTAAAATGATTTACTCAGGGTCACATAGTCAGTATATATCAGAGACAGGGCTTAAACTCAGGTATTTCTGACTGTTACGCCAGACCTTTAGCTACTATACCATGATTCCTTTCTATGATGTTGCAGAGTGATTTTCTGAGCATGGAAGAGGTAACATTTCAGTGAAGATTTCATAGAACAAGTCATGTCAATTTCAATATAATATTTAACATAACTGAAGCTATCATCCTGGATCTGCCACTTACAATGACCCTGGGCAAAACACGTAAACTTTCTAGGCCTCAGTGACATGGTGGGATTGGATGAGATGACATTTCAGGTACTTTCTAGCTATAAATATATGATCCTATGAAATTATTAGCATTTCTAAGAAAGCCATCAAATATTTTTACCTGGGCCCATATGCTGAACTGTGGGAGAAAAGATTGTATAAATAGCTAGATGGAAAAAGAGTGGTGGGGAGAGAAATAGGACTAGAATGAGAGAGGAAGAGGGAGAAAGATAGAGAAGGTAAAGGAGGAAGAAGAGAGGTAGGGAATGGATGGAAAAGGAAGGGAAGGAGGGAGAAGGAAAAGGGACAGTGAGATGGGAGAGAGATTCTAGAAGTAATGTATATGTATAAAAGACAACATATAGCATATATTTTCTGAAATTAATCTTAACTCAGCTTCAGTTAAAATTAAGTCCTGGGCATTGTGATAACGCTGTAAATAAAAAGGACAGAGTGAAAAAGAACTGTACAGGATCCTCTACCATATGAGCTCCCCAAAAATAGTTTCTTTAGGCTAGAGGAATCTAGAGGAATTTGTCTTCAAGTATAAGAGTGAATTTGGTTTGGAAAGGGATTACTGCAAAGGTCTGTGTGAGCCTGGGCAAGTTAAAATCGACCAGGTTGGGTGATTTGCTGTTATTTTTTCATTACCCTATCCTACATTGGAAAACACTTTCTGACATATCGTCACACTACCATTTTGAAAGCCATTTCTAGGGAGGCTCTTTCAAGTTGGTCTTTAAAAAAAACATTTGATGATGGTCATATGGACATAGGAATTACTTGAAGAGAGTGCAATTTTAATTTGAAATGGCCTGCACATTTTAGCTCCATGGTTTTGTTTAGATTAGAAATGTGGGGGTGCTAGACAGCCATTTTCTTAAAAAAAGAAACGACAAGATTGTAGATTTAGAGTTATAATGGACCTTAGAGGACATTGCATCAAACCTCCTTCTTTTTATAGATGAGTACACTGAAGCATAGAGGATAAGTGACTTTACAGGGTGAGATGTGAGCCCATGCTGTTGCTGCTTCACACTCCTATAATATAGTACATTGGGCCACTGCTTTGGGTGAGAAAATTTTTTGAGCAATAGCACCTGCTCTTACCTTTGTGTGGTAAAAATTCCAATTTTGCAGGTGTGGAGGTTTTCACTTAGTGAAGAGAAGATGTAAATGGATGAAACCAAGGGTCACTCAAAGGAGTAACATGTGGTTTTTGTGGCCTATTTTATTCCCATGTAGGTTTCTTAAGAGAACATTTTAATTAAAAAAGGAAAAATACTATGTAGCTAGATAATGGAATTCCTGGTCTTGGTTGATGACTTGATTAATACAAATTGGATAGATTTGTTTCCCAAAAGTAATCATTTTGATTTAAAAATCATATTAAAGATTCCTCTTTGTAATGATTGGTGAATGCATATGGTAGCCTTTGAATAAACCAGGGATTCCTAACCCTTCTTCCATCATTGACTCTTTTTACAATCTGTTGAAACCTATGGACCCCTCAGAATATTATTTTTAAGTGCAGAAAATAAAACACAAAGGATTACAAAGGAAACCAATTATATTGAGAAACAGTTTTCAAAATAGTAAAACAACAGCAGTAAGAACAGGGGCAGTGAGGTGGCACAGTGGATAGAGCACCGGCCCTGGATTCAGGATGACCTGAGTTCAAGTCCGGCCTCAGACACATAACACTTACTAGCTGTGTGACCCTGGGCAAGTCACTTAACCCCATTGCCTAAAACAACAATCTCCCCACCCAAAAAAACCCCAATAAGAACAAAACCAAATTTATGGACTTCATGCCAAGAACTCTGGGAATAAATGATAATAGTACAAATCCATTTACATACAGGAGAAGAAAGATTTTCTAAGTATCAGAGGGGAGAAGAGAGAATTCCAAGCCAGATAATCTTTCAATTTGATTAGACTAACAATGATGATGCCAAATTATAATATAAATTCATTAGTAAAATTTTAACGAGGAGGACGTCAGATGATTATGAGCAGTATCATTTTATATAGCAAAGAGAAGTAATGAAAGTGAAAACCAATAAAAAGAAGCTTAGTAAGTCAAGAAATAAAAGAAAAATGGAAAGGATTTATAAATTACAGCAATTGGTTTTATCCATTAAAGAAAGGGGAATCACTACACACTAGAACCCTAAAAGTATAGCCTTGTGCATAGCTGTTTTCGTGTTGTCCAACCCTGCCCCTCTCCATGCCCTGCCCATTGCCTTTAGACTGTGAGCTCTTTGAGAGCAAGAATGGGATTTTGCCTTTCCTTGTATCCACAGTGCTTAACACAGTGCCTGGTACACAGTAGGCACTTAATAAATGCTAGTTAACTTACTCATTGGTTATAGGAAAGGTAGAAATTATAGTAAGGGTAACAAAATGGGAAAAGCAGCTGAACTGAATCAAGTATATACAGCAGAGAACCATGCTGGAGGAAACACATTTGTGAATGCATTAAGGAATCAATCTAATATCAAAACAGCAGGGAAAAAAAATCTCAGACTTTGAAAGATATAGTAAGAGAACAGAAATAATTCTGTCTGGTGATGCTCTAGGTGAGGCATAAAATAGGGAGATTCTTCACAGAGTGCAAGAATCAGGAATTCTTAAGTTGAGGTCCTTAACATACTCTTTTGCCTTCCCTTCCTAACCTCTTGTCTTCTCTTTCTATATCCAACTATCTGCCTGTATATCTATATTTATATCTATACACATGTATATATTATACATGCATATATACATACATGTACATTAGTAGCTATCTTGCAGTATACTGATTTCCTTTGTAATTTGATGTTTTTCATTTTATGCATTAAAAACAATTATTCTGAGAAAGGGTCTGTAGCCTTCACCAGACTGCCAAAGTGGTCCAGGGCACAAGAAAGGTTAAGCATCATGCCGTAGATGGTAATACTTCTATTTATGTATGGCATGGACTGATTGGATGGATGCCTGGAACACTGGAAGCCTCTTAGAAGAGATCTGAAATTACTATAAAGAATATATTTTCCTCAAATTATAACACGCATGCAAATAGACAATCTGAAGGTATAGCACTTATTCGTCAGCAAGGACACGTGGAACAAATATTACAGTATGGATAGCAAGCTGAATTGACATTTGACAAAGGAGAGGGAGGGCTGGATTGCCTTTGGGAAACTGCGCCTTCGCATGTTTCTATGAAAGCCAGGGTGTATCCCTGGCTGGAGATGAGCTACAGTAATGGGGCATAGTGTACATGATGCTGAAGTATTAAAAATGACTACCATCTGCCAAGGGCAATGGAAGAATGGATATGGTGGTTTTCAGCAAGCAGCAACACATAATCAAAGAGGGATATTTTATAAGTGAAGTAAAAGATGTCATCGAGGAATGGGTTGTTAGGAAGAAAAAATGGGCTAGTGAGATGGTGAAGGTGAGTGGAGTGCCAGAGTGCTTCACTGGTATCCTCCTGAGGTGAAAGGAAAGCAAAAATGGACTCCAGCAAATTGGGTAGACCTCCTGTGATGTACTCATGGGAGGACTTGGACAAGAGTCCCCCAGGTAGAGTAAACATGGCTGGATTATGAAAGGAAGTGAATGGAAGAGAATAAACATTTATTGGGTACCTACTATGTGCCAGTTAAGCACTTTTTAAATATTATCCCATTTGATCCTTGACAACTTTGGGAGGCAGATACTATTATTACCTCCAT